GTAAATAGATAGATAGACTCCGTATGTAGGCATAACACATGTTGTCGCACTGGTATGTCTGCATATGGCAAACAGGTACTGTTGCACTAGGGCTTAATTATATTTACCAGGTATGGCAGCGCTTTGGCAGGGCAGTTCTTTGGCCACCAACACCGCCACCGGACTGCCCGGATCGGTAGACGTCAGCGGACCCAGAGAGCCCAATACCCCTTTAATAAGGAATATATACACCTTAAATCATAATATTAAAGCCCCTATAGTTTAAGGTATATTCCTTATTTAAGGAGTATTGGGCTCTCTGGGGATTGGTTTAGAAGTGTTCGTAGGGCAGCAGGAAGAAGGCTTTATCCGGTGCGTCTCCGTTTGCGGATGCCAGGGCATTAAAGAGTGCCTTGAGCTTAAAGTGTTGACCTAAATGTTGCGGAGAGCATAGGTTTCTTTACGTTGTCTAGTCTTTGTTTGGGTGTCAAACTTCTCAGCGTTCCGGTGGCCTTTGGGCAGGTGTTCGTGGCGTAGGCTCGGCATGCTTGCCGCGGCGGCGGTGTTTGTAGGATTCTGTGAGAAGTCTCGGGGACCGCGGACCTATGATATATACTCCGAGCCTTGTGAGCAAAGCTGGCAGCCTTTCCTTGGCGTTCTTCTGGTTGGCTCTTAGGACTTTCACTTTTGGGTTTCCATATGAACTACAATAAGGAGGCAAAAAGTTAAACTTTTAGGAGGGGTTCAGAAGTCAGCCAAGTTTCCATTTCTCCAAGCCTTCCAAGCCTGGACTACCCCTCGGACCTTTCTAAGATGCTGAAGAGCTGCCAAGACTCCTGCAAGATCCCAGAGAGCCCCAGATACCCCTTAATGAAGGAATACAGACCTTAAATCATCATAATATTAAGGCCCCCTATAGTTTGAGGTATATATATTCCTTAATTATGATGTATATATCGGGCTCTCTGGGATTCTCAAAGAATCCAGAGAGATCCCTCCCCGCAACCCTTTCACCCTGGTGCTTTCTAACTGAAGTCCATCTCGAATTTGTAGCAGGCTTCCTTAGGGCTCGGGTGTGAAGCGCGAGCCGTACCCTCGCGCACTCAGGTGACGAGTTTCGAGTGCAGGCAAGACCCTTGGGAAACAAAGCCAGATCGACTCCATTTTCCAGACGCGCGTGTGTCTGTCTGTGTGTCTGTGTCTGTGTCTGTGTCTGTGTGTGTGTGTGCGTGCGTCGACGTTGCCTTCACTGCCATGGTCACTCTGGGCTTCCGGTTTCCGCTTTGGGTTTGCACCGTTGGAACCGGAAAATCAATTCTCGGAGTGGTTCTCTTCCAGCTCCTAGCCTCGTCTTGCCCTCGCAGCTGGCCGCCCCACTGGCGTCCTCACCGCCGCTCTACATGTTCGCTGCCTTGAGCATCTTGGCGCTCATCCTTTCTTACAGTAGAAGCCCAAAAGTTGGAAACCCAATAGCCTCAATCCTTAAGAGCAAGGTATATGGGACCCCAGCGCTACCTGTCCTTAATCCGGTTTCCAAGTTTTTTGGGTTTACTATATACAAACGGAGTCAAGTCTTGAGCGTTTCGTGAGGGTCTGGAAGGGTTGCGAGAGTGTGAGATTACCGGGAGTGGCTCCAAGCAAAGACCGAGAACATGACCGAATTCCCTGTACCTTGTGCTACAGAGTGTGAAAAGCCTTCTGTGAGTAGGGCGCTTGCTCCTTCGAATTAGTGTAGAGGCCTTAATAATTAGAATAGGGTTCTGGGGGGTTTCCTTGTTATTATTATAGCAGAATATACCCCAAAACCCGATTCTAACTATTAAGGCCCCTACATTCATCCGAGGTCCCATTCAGCGCACAAACCCTGCATACTACCGCTTGGACGTTGACAGCAGCTTGGGCACCAGAAGTTGTTTGCGTCATCCCGTCCAGCTGAGTCTGGCACACCTTATGAGGTGCATGCTGTGGACGGCTTGCACGTTTGGGTTGAGGAAAACTGAGCACACATGTGTCACTGCCGGAATTCTGCTTGTGCAAGCCACAGGCCTTTTCGGACTGCACTTGATACTCCTAGGCATTGGTGTAACATGTTTGAACCTATCTCAAAAAAATAGATAGATAGATAGATAGATATAGGTATATAAATGTATCTACATGTATATATACATATATATATACACACTATCTTGCTCTCACTCGTCCTGCTACATGTCATTGCTCCTTGTACTTGTTCCTGGGCTTTCGTTTTCGTAGGGGCCGCACGCAATGCAGTTTTCAAGTTTCAAGAGTCGCTAGTTTCCAGAACCCTGGCACCTTGCACGTAAGCTTCAGCCCTTGTGTCGATTTCTCTTGGGGAGTTCGCTTCCCTGCCTTTCCGAGGTACCTTCAAACTTCTTGACGTTCACAGCTTTTTCGCCAATATCTCTGAGGCAGGGTGGTGAATGCAAAGCTACAGCCTGCCCGAAGTCCAGATCCAAGTCTTGAAACTCCGACAGTACTACTGCTCCTGGTCGATGTTCGGGAGTTGCTTCAGGATCCTGCTACCCCTAAGGCTGCTACTGCTACTACTGATACCGCTACTGTTACTGCTACTGCTA